GGGGGTTATTACCGGACTGTGTTGGGGGGTAATAACCCCCTGACACTGTCTGGTAATAACCCCCCCCCCCCGACATGGTCCGATAACACCCCCCCCCACCACGGTCCGAATAACCGACCCCCCCCCCCCCCGACACGGTCCGATAACAACCCCCCACCCCCCCCCCCCCCCCCCCCCCCGACACGGTCCGATTAACACCCCCCCCGACACAATCCGGTAATCGCCTCCCCCCGACACGGTCCGATAACAACCCTCCCGACACGGTCCGATAACAACCCCCCCCCCCCGACACGGTCCGATAACCCCCCCCCCCCCCCCCCCCCCCCCCCGACACGGTCCGATAACAACCCCAACCCCCCCCCGACACGGTCCGATAACAACCCCCCCGACACAATCCAGTAATCACCCCCCCCGACACGGTCCGGTAACCAATTCCATACCTGGTAATGTGTAGAGGCTCGCTTACATGACCCCACAGTACACAGGAGTACATTCCCATGTGTTGATGCGACATACGTGTGCCGGGAGCCAATTACGATGAATGTTGCCGCGCTGCACCAACGCATCTGTGTGAATCCATCCTTCACATCGCACTCCCAGGCTTATTACCTCTGACCATGCCTTCATCAGCGCCATCTTTATTCAGGCATCATCCACGGTCACCATCTACATCCTGGACTGGAATGCCGGCACAGAACCCTGGTGCCTGTGCAGTTCTTGGCTGTGATCACAAATGTCTGACACAGATCAGCCCCTGCTGTCACCTTGTGAATACAGGACTTGTATAGGTTTGCTCAGCGCTTTGCAAAAAGAAGGCAGCCAATTGCTGCAAAGTTTCAGTGTACAGTGATCACTGGGGGAGGGGAGACCGAGGAAATTCTTCCTCCTGCCTGCAGCAGACAATTGACTCCATCTCATCCTAGCAAAGTCACTGGCCTGACGGCTTATAGATTGTAACTTTTATAAGAATCATCAACCGTTCCATTCTCTGCCCCGTCTCATGATTTCATGCTGCAGCCAATCACATCACTTGTACTTGGTGTCTGGCTTCATTGGGGAAGTGGGCATCCTATGCAGTTCCACATTTCACCACCAGGGGCGCCATGGAGCGCTGATTCCTGTGTGGTGGTTGTGGCCGTGCGCTCAGCGCTGTAAATACATTGATCTGGTAATGAGGAGGCGGGGTCTTGTGTGTGTCATTCCTGTGTTTGCTGCATCACATGTTGCTGTGTGTTTAATGAGCGATTGTACGATCGATGTGATCAGCCGTTGGATTGGTCAGACTTCTCGTGTCCCGACATACATCCAGGATCACATCTACATTTAAAGGGCAACGCCGAGTAAAGAAACTGAAATCTAAATAAAAAAATTGCAGATGAAACCGCAGAACGATCGACTGATTTTTACTGCTTCCTTGCAGCGTTTTTATTCGTCGTAAATGATTCTTCACTTTAAAATCTGCCTGTGCTAGGATGAAATTCCATGACCTATAGCCCCTCCCTCCATACGCATCACAGTCACCTCCTCCTCTGGGCGTGTCCGTTCCATGACCTATAGCCCCTCCCTCCGTACGCATCACAGTCCCCTCCTCCTCTGGGTGTGTCCGTTCCATGACCTATAGCCCCTCCCTCCGTACGCATCACAGTCCCCTCCTCCTCTGGGCGTGTCCGTTCCATGACCTATAGCCCCTCCCTCCGTACGCATCACAGTCCCCTCCTCCTCTGGGTGTGTCCGTTCCATGACCTTTAGCCCCTCCCTCTGTACGCATCACAGTCCCCCCTCCTCTGGGTGTGTCCGTTCCATGACCTTTAGCCCCTCCCTCTGTACGCATCACAGTCCCCCCCTCCTCTGGGTGTGTCCGTTCCTTGACCTATGGCCCCTCCCTCCATACAAATCAGTCCATTCCATGCCCTATAGCCCCTCCCTCTGTACACATCAGTCCCCTCCTCCTCTGGGTGTGTCCATTCCATGCCCTATAGCCCCTCCCTCCGTACACATCACAGTCCCCTCCTCCTCTGGGTGTGTCCATTCCATGCCCTATAGCCCCTCCCTCCGTACACATCACAGTCCCCTCCTCCTCTGGGTGTGTCTAATTGCTGTCTGTGCTGGCCCAGCTCCTTTACCCCTCACCTTCTTACATTTACCTTTTATGTATGAGGAGTTCCCACCATCCCTGTGCTGATTTCCGGGGTCTGTATGCCCGCTGTGCTCATTATGAGGGGTTCCCACCATCCATGTGCTGAGTTTCCTGGGTCTGTACACCCTCTGTGCCCATTATGAGGGTTCCCACCATCCCTGTGCTGAGTCCCCGGGTCTGTACACCCGCTGTGCACATTATGAGGGGTTCCCACCATCCCTGTGCCGAGTCCCCGGGTCTGTACACCCGCTGTGGACATAATGAGGGGTTCCCACCATTCCTGTGCTCAGTTCCTGGGTCTGTGCCTGTGTTTGGGTCACTGTAATTGCCATGTGTGTCTGCTTGCAGTTCTTCCTCTATACGGGGCGGGGGAGGGGAGATCAGTGGGGTGGGGGAGGGGAGATCAGTGATGGAATAAATCGTTGAGCTGATGGCACTGAAATGGTAAACGTTTGAACACGCTCTATTCCCGAAGAGTGCTCAGTGGCTCCCCTGTGTGGCGGGTCCCCTGCACTGCGTACAGCACAAGGCATCCAGTGTGCATTCCCCGGCTACTCCTGAACTCCAGGAACAAATCACACTCTATCCATCCTAATCAGGGGCGGACTGACCATTTGGAAACTCGGGCACTGCCCGGGGACCTTGGGTCAGTAGGGGGCCCCATGGGATGCCCCTGGTACCTTTTTCATAGGCTTTTTTGAGTTTGGGCAAGGACACAGGGGCCCCATGATCCCCTATTGCCCGGGGGCCCCATGAGTTCAGTCCACCCCTGATCCTAATATCTCATTATTCTCCAGAGCAAGGGTGTCACTCCATTTCATCACGGGCCGTATCAGCCTTATAGTAGCCGGTTGTATCTGGAAGACTAGAGCACCCCACCCCCTATACATCAGATGTCAAGGATCCCCACCCTCCCTAACAGCGTGCCCCCCCTCCCTTTGGGGGCAGAGCTGGGAAGCAAGAAGTGCGCGGTCCGGAGGAGGACCGGAGGAGGAGTGGAGTCACTTACCAGAGTCTTCATTCAAAAGTACCACTTACAATAATAGTGATTATTAGCGGCGCATTAAATGTCTGGAATACATGAAATCCTATTGACAATCTCTGTGTGATTCATTGTCTCCATTGCCACAATGTAAACATATATATATATATATATATATGTATGTATGTATGTGTGTATATATTTATATATATATATATATATATATATATATATATATATATATATATATATATAAAACTTACTACATAAATTATATGAGACATAAAATAATCGTGTCCAAATAAATCATAAGTCCCGTGAAAACAATGAAATTAATAACAAATTCAAAAAAATCCTAGACTTTCCTAGGACTTTTACAAGAAAAAAAAAGTGGAAGATTTTTTGGACTTTTTTTGAATTTATTAATTTCATTGTTTTCACGGGACTTATGATTTATTTGGACACAATTATTTTATGTCTCATATAATTTATGTAGTAAGTTTTATATATATATATATATATATATATATGTGTGTGTGTGTGTGATATATATATATATATATATATATATATATATATATATATATATATATATGTATATGTATGTATGTGTGTGTGCGTGTATGTATGTGTGTGTGTATGTATGTATATGTATGTGTGTATGTATATATATATATATATATGTTTATATTGTGGGAATGGAGACAATGAATCACACAGAGACTGTCAATAGGATTTCATGTATTCCAGACATTTAATGTGCTGCTAATAATCACTATTATTGTAAGTTATATTTTTTCAATCCGTTTTGACATAACATTTAAAGTGGCAGCTAACTGGATATAATAATATTTGAAAGTATCGTTTGGCTGGATTTAGTGTTTAGTACATTTCTTGAATCACTCCATAAAATAAGTTCGCAGAGTCTGCTGAATGCTGAGACCGGGGGAGGCGGAGATGAGGGGGGGGTGCTGCAGTGCGAGGTGCAGGATCTGGCAGAGGAGTTCTGTTCTCCTCTCTGCTGCCGACTGCTGAGACAAGGTGTAGGCAGACATGGCCTGGGGGGGGCCTTGTGTTTCTGTGCTCTACGGCTTCTGCAATAAATAAATAGTAACAAAAAAATTAAATTAAATTTATTTTTTTTTTATAAATCTTTATACATAATTTGGGTTTCTAAGTACTTTGCCTGCCCCCAGTAAATACAGATTTTTTTTTTTTACACGTAGCAGAGAAATATCAGAAATGGCCCAGTAGGGAAATGGTTAAACTTTAGCCTTCAGTTGGTAAGGGCTCCTCCCCCTCAGAGTAACTCCCATGGTCATGTGATCCTCCTGCCCACTGGTGACCAATCTGCTGAAGCTGCTCTTCCTGGTCTCCACTTGGTCTTGTCCCCGCCTCTCTGTGATGTCATTCTTGTCCAATAATCCGGAGCAGCCCTGCCGCTTCCTGCATGTTGGAGTGTCCAGTATAATGGGGGGTTATATATTTGTTGCTGGGGGGGGGGGGGGGGGGTGTTTATTATTTACCGCAGGCTGGAAATTTATAGCAGATTGTGTCTTTTTACTTTCATTTCCTGTTCATGATTATTGTCTAAGAACAGATTTCTGGGGGGTGCAAAATCTGGTGCAGCCAATCAGCTTCTAACTTCAGTTTGTTCAATGAAGCTTTGACAATAAAACCTGGAAGCTGATTGATTTCTATGCAGAGCTGCACCAGATTTTGCACCCTCCAGTTTTAGTAACCCCCCCCCCCCCCACCACTACCTCTGTGTGTTTTGTCAGCAGTTTTTGGTTTGTCCAGAACATGAATTTGTTATAAGTCGGGTCAGAGATCATCGCCCATAAACCTGGGACTCACCGTGCGACTTTTGTTTCCTCTTAGGATGGAACGCCGAACTACCAGCGGAGGAGGACCGTGGAGGACTTCAACAAGTTCTGTACATTTGTGTTGGCCTATGCCGGCTACATACCGTACCCCGAGGAGGTGAGTTACCATGTGAGTATAGGTCAGGTCCTTCCCAAAGATGGCCGCTCAGGGATAGGCTCATCCAGGTTTATTGCTGATAGTGATGCACCGATATGTTGGCTGCCAGAAATTATCGGCCGAAAATACAGTTATCGGCGTTTTGCCAATGCCCCATTGTAAGTCTATGGATGACTTGCACCTTTGACAAATAGAAAATATGTTCATACCTTTTCAGTGTCCCGCTGTCACCCCCCCCCCCCCCAGTCCAAGTTGACGGTTTCAGTAGGACAGGTTCACTTTAAACCCACCTGTCTGGTATAACAGGAAGCTGAGTCGTCTCCTATTCGCCTTGCAGAAGGAGTTGTAATAAAGTCGTCATTGGCATTCCTGTGCGGTGACATGGCTGTGTAAAATCGATGACGTCACCGCGCTGCTGATCTGATTATCTACGGCTCTTCACATATCAGGGATGGGGGATGGGTGCTCAGGCAGCAGTATATGACACAATGCTGTATACGGCTATGTATAGCCCCAGAGGAGAGAGATATAGAGAGATAGATATATATAGATATATATAGATATATATATATATCTCACACACGCCACTTTATTCATTATACCTTGCTACCTGGAGTCTTCTGCTGCTGTAGCCCATCTGTTTCAAGGTTGGACGTGTTATTCATTCAGAGGTGGTATTCTGCATAGCTTGGGTGTAACGAGTGGTTATTGGAGTTACTGTCGCCTTTTGATCCCCTGGAACCAGTCTGCCCATTCTCCTCTGACATCCACAAGGCGTTTTCCTCCACACAAAACTGCCGCTCACTGGAGATTTTCTCTTTTTCGGACCGTTCTCTGTAAACCCTACAGATGGCTGTGTGTGAAAATCCCAGTAGATCAGCAGTTTTTGAAATACTCAGACCAGCCCGTCTGGCACCAACAGCCATGACACGTTCAGTCACTTAAATCCCCTTTCTTCCCCTTTCTGATGCTCGGTTTGAACTTCAGCAAGTTGTCTTTACCACGTCTAGATGCCGAAAAGCATTGAGTTGCTGCCATGTGATTGGCTGATTAGCAATTTGTGTTACCAAGCAATTGAAAAGGTGGACCTGTACGTATAGCCAGTGAAGTGACTGGCCTCTGGTGATACACAGAGGCTTTTGGTCCTGGTAAAAGTGTGTGTGTGTGTATATATATTATCCAGTGCCAGAGACTGTAGACCTACAACAGGATTTAGTCAACGAGTAATGGCGTGACACAAGAGATGGTCAGAGACTGCGGACATGATATAGGAGGTGGTCTGAGAATGCGGACACGAAGCAAGAGATGGTCAGGGACAGCGGACGCGGCGCAGGAGATGGCCGGAGACCGCGGACGCGGCGCAGGAGATGGCCGGAGACCGCGGACGCGGCGCAGGAGATGGCCGGAGACCGCGGACGCGGCGCAGGAGATGGCCGGAGACCGCGGACGCGGCGCAGGAGATGGCCGGAGACCGCGGACGCGGCGCAGGAGATGGCCGGAGACCGCGGACGCGGCGCAGGAGATGGCCGGAGACCGCGGACGCGGCGCAGGAGATGGCGGGAGACCGCGGACGCGGCGCAGGAGATGGCGGGAGACCGCGGACGCAGCGCAGGAGACCGTTGAAAATCTCTGATATAGCAAGGCAATAGGGAAACACAGATTAGTGGCTGTAAGGGTGACCATGGATATCGGGGCAAATACAGATTTTGAAAAGACAACAATAAAATGCTGACAGAAGGTTTGATCCTTTTTTCATCTAAATGAGATGAGACAGTTTGGGGTTGATTTACTAAAACTGAAGAGTGCAGAATCTGGTGCAGCTGAGCATGTTGGCCAATCGGCTTCTAACTTCAGCTTCTTCTAAGAACCTTTGACAATAAAACCTGGAAGCTGATTGTTTCTGTGCAGAGCTGCACCAGATTTTGCACTCTCCAGTCTTGGTAAATTCCCGCTATTGTGACATGCATGGGCATCCTAAGACATTGTGTGACGGGTAAATTGTTTATCAATCCTTGCATAGAATTGTGGCCTTTTTTTGTTTGTTTTTTTGGTCTAGCAGTCTTTTTATATGATTGTTAATCCATTTTAAGATCCCCAATTCTAGACAATGCATGCATCCTATGACCGCCGTCAGATGGCTCACCATTCTCACGGCTGCATTGCTTCTCATCGGAGGACTGTGAAACCTCTGTGAGGTGTGAAGGAGGCGAAGAACGGGGCCCCTCGTGTTTCTACATAAATTAACAACCACACAGCTTGTGAAGGGGAGAGAGAAAAAAAAAAAAAAAACCCCAAAGAATTGTGCGGTTGAACCTTCTCTTCTGGCAGACGGTGGAGTTGAATGCAATCATTCAACACGGGGAATGATCCCACCAGGGAAATCTGCCTATATTAGCAGCCTGAGACCGGGGAATGTGTTTGTTTTTGGGAAAGGAGACTTTTCGGTTTCATTATCCAGAAGGAGAAATTTAGAGAAAAAAGCTCTAAATATTTCTGGACGAAGCGTCTTAGAACTCAAAGCGCCTAATATTTGGTGTTTTGATTGTGACAGATTGTGGTTTAAAGGGAATTTTATTATTTGAAGACTTTTTACATTAACCATACATATACGAGTTTGCTGGACATCCCATTACAAAACCAAAGCAGCCGTTCGTATGAAGTCCCCACTCCTTTATCCTTCCTTTTGCATCTAGAACATCCTCCACCCTACTGGGAAGACTTTGGGAGGGTCTGTGGCGTTTTTGTGACCATTTGTGAGGTCAGGTGCTGATGTTGGATGAGAAGTCCTGGCTCCTTAATGGGTGTTCCAATTCATCCCATTGGTTTAAGGTCAGGGCTCTGTGCAGGTGATCCAAGATCCTCCACACCAAAGGCTCTCCAACAAAAATTTGAAGAGTGTCTGTGGGAATTTGTGATCATGCAACCAAAAGAAAATTTTTCGAGGTCAGGTGGTGATGTTGAATGAGAACACTTGGCTCCTTAATGGTGTTCCAATTCATCCCAAAGGTGTTCAGTAGAGTTGAGGTCAGAGCTCTGTGCAGGTGATCTAAGATCCTCCACACCCAGGGGCGGACTGACCATTTGGAAACTCAGGCACTGCCCGGGGTCAGTAGGGGGCCTCATGAGATGCCCCTGGTACCTTTTTCATAGGCTTTTTTGAGTTTGGGCAAGGACACAGGGGCCCCATGATCCCCTATTACCCGGGGGCCCCATGAGTTGTCAGTCCACCCCTGATAGTACCCTATCATTGGTGTCAGTGGGAGGAATAGTGCCCCATCATTGGTATCAGTGGGAGGAATAGTGCCCCATCATTGGTATCAGTGGGACGAATAGTGCCCTATCATTGGTGTTAGTGGGAGGAATAGTGCCCCATCATTGGTGTTAGTGGGAGGAATAGTGCTCTGCCATATTTGGTATCAGTGGGAGGAATAGTGTCCCATCATTAGTATCAGTGGAGGAATAGTGCCCCATCATTGGTGTTAGTGGGAGGAATGGTGCCCCATCATTGGTGTCAGTGGGAGGAATGGTGCCCCATCATTGGTGTCAGTGGGAGGAATGGTGCCCCATCATTGGTGTCAGTGGGAGGAATGGTGCCCCATCATTGGTGTCAGTGGGAGGAATGGTGCCCCATCATTGGTGTCAGTGGGAGGAATGGTGCCCCATCATTGGTGTCAGTGGGAGGAATGGTGCCCCATCATTGGTGTCAGTGGGAGGAATGGTGCCCCATCATTGGTGTCAGTGGGAGGAATGGTGTCCCATCATTGGTATCAGTGGGAGGAATGGTGTCCCATCATTGGTGTCAGTGGGAGGAATGGTGCCCCATCATTGGTGTCAGTGGGAGGAATGGTGCCCCATCATTGGTGTCAGTGGGAGGAATGGTGCCCCATCATTGGTGTCAGTGGGAGGAATAGTGCCCCATCATTGGTATCAGTGCCTGTCAGTGCCGCCCCTGTCCACACCACAAGATTTTGGAGAGTGTCTGTGGGAATTTGTGCCCATTCAGACAAGACAATTTTTTTGTGGTCAGGTGCTGATGTTCAATGAGGAGACTTGGCTCCCAAATGTGGGTGTTCCAATTCATTCCAAGGGTGTTCAGTAGGGTTGAACCGGAGCTGCACACCACTTTTGAGGGTAAAACCAACCTTATTGATCCTCCCTCTGATATGTTTCATCTACAGCTAGCAGATGGGTTGAGGTCAGGGTTTCTCCACCCCAAACTGGTCAAACCATGTCTTTATGGAGCTGGTTTTGTACACAGGGGCACAGTCATGGTGGAACAGAAAAGGTTCTTCACCAAAATGTTACCACAAGGTTGGAAGAGCACCATTGCCAAAAACTCTGCAGCCTGAGATGCGTAGGCGATCCTCTAGTACTTGTGTGACCCTCAGACTCCAGCAGTCTATAATGGGAATGAGTGTTGATCTGTAAAGCGGTGATCTCTAGTATAGCATACCGATAGCGACACACACTGTTCAACTCCACTGTAAAGTGAATAAAAAACAGTCTTCAGCTTAGATCCCAGCCCATTAGTGATGCCCCTCTGACATGTTTCACCCACATTGGGCTCAAATCTCTCCTTGTCTTCTGTTTCTAGCCCCCCAACCAAACCTATAGCATAGTATGCACCGTGTACTGGCACATTATGAAAGACTTGCCTGAAAATGAAGCCCTCCAGCAGAGCGCTGTGTTGACTCCCCGGAGCTTCCATCTTCACCCGGTAATCCTTCCAGGTTCACGAGCTGCAGGCCTTTGACTGGCCGAGCTGCGATGGCGTCACTCCCCATGCATGTGGGAGCCTTGGCTATGGCAATGCTCTCTCAATGGACGACACACCTTCTATTGAGAGCACAGTGCACATGCACCGGTAACATCACCGGCGCTGCTGATGTTAATGTCTCCTAAACCGTATCTTGGTTCCACCACATCCCAGTACCACCCCTTTAAGAGTATACAGATCCAAGTATTTTGTGGTGCTATGTAATTTGTATGAGATTTGTTCATGATAACAAGAAAAGCAATAAAATGGATAGCCAGCAGAAGTAGACCCTCCAGTAACAATAGATCCTCTCAGCAACAGTAGAGCCTCAGGAACGATAGATCCATCTCAACAACAATGGCTCCCCCCCCAACAGCAATGGCTTCCCCCCCCCCCCCCTAACAACAATGGCTCTCACTCCAACAACAATGGCCTCCCCAACAACAATAGATCCTCCTAGAAACAAAATACCCCCAGTAGTAATAGCTCCACCCCAGAAAAACAATATATCTTGCAGCAGCCAGCAACAATAGACCCTTCCCTCAACAGTAGAATTATCTGAACAACTCCCCAGCGACAATAGATCCCTCCATTACAATAGAGCCTCCAGCAGCCAGCATCATTAGACTCTCCAGCACACTCCATCACGATTTCACATAATTTACCGTGCATTCCGCGCTGGAGGTTCCGAAATTTGTCATCCATTCCCGCGTTCCCTCTGAGCAAAAAAGCCCTGGTGACCCTTAAATATCCAATATCAATTTTTATGCCTAAACCACATGGAAAGGAAAAAAATCCTCTCTTGTGGTGGGGCTTCCCCTGCACTTTAAGGGTTAAATACTCATTTAGATCTAGGGGCTGCTTCCACTGGCTCCTTCCAGGCTATAAGAACGGTCCCAGCAGCCTCTTCTCTCTGCTATGCTCCATCGGTTGCAGGTCCTCCAATGTCAAGTCCAGTGCAGATCCCATAGCATTGGAGTTGAAGACATCGGAATAGTCCACCCCTGGAGCTTAGGGGAGGCAAGCAGAGGATCGGGTAATTAAAACTGCTATTTGCACCCTCTAGAACAGGGGTGGGCAAACTTTTTGACTTGAGGGCCGCAATGGGTTCATATATTGGACCCGGGGGCCGGACCAAGAGTAGATGAATGATGTGTATGTGTCATCCATAGTAAGTATAGTCCCCCATAGTAATTCATCCCCCATATAGTAATTCATCCCCCATATAGTAATTCATCCCCCATATAGTAATTCATCCCCCATATAGTAATTCATCCCCCCTATAGTAATTCATCCCCCCTATAGTAATTCATCCCCCCTATAGTAATTCATCCCCCCTATAGTAATTCATCCCCCCTATAGTAATTCATCCCCCCTATAGTAATTCATCCCCCATAGTGTAATTCATCCCCCATAGTGTAATTCATCTCCCATATAGTAATTCATCCCCCCCTATAGTAATTCATTCCCCATATTAAGTCCCCAAGTCCCCCCTGTGTCAATTCACTTACCTTTGCTCCTGTCGCCGTGTTCCCGCGCCGTTCCGGTGTAGCATGAATATCTGTCTCCTATGAGGATCTGTCCCCCTCGACGTATCTGCGCATGTGCCAGTTTCAGGCATTAGCAGCCGATCGGCGATCTCCGGCACATGCGCAGATACGTCGAGGGGGACAGATCCTCATAGGAGACAGATTTTCATGCTACACGGCGGACTGTGAGAGGAGCCTAGCGGGAGCCTAGCTCCGCGGGCCGGATTAAAAAGTCCGCCGGGCCGTATACGGCCCGCGGGCCGTAGTTTGCCCATTGCTGCTCTAGAACTAAAAGAACATTTAACCCTTGCAGTGGTCACCAGTGGGGATATAGACTGTAACAGAAACTTGACACCGCTTCTAATCCTCCACCCCAGCTAACAAACAAGTTTTGCCTAGAGATAGACTTAGAAAAACTAGATTTTACCCTTTTGAGATGGTTGATTATCTTTTATGTTGGCTTCTCTAGGAGACTCCACTCCGAGCCGGGTCCAGCCCTCCAAACAGCACAGGAAGTACTGTGGACAGCGACAGCTGGGACTCCAGGTTCCAAGACATCCCAAGCACAGGGGTTCTCCCAATCAAAAAGCGAAGAAGTTTTGGAGAGATGAAACATGAACGCTCCTATCCTTCCATGCTGAAACGCTCCAAGCTCAGCACTTTCCTCCTGGAGAGGAAAAAACTCGACAAAATCAAGAAAAAGAAGAAGCTGAAGAAGAGAGAGCAGCAACCGGTGGAGGAGGCGGAATACCTCAAAACCGTCATAAAACTGGAGCCAGAGAACCCCTATCCAGGAGAGATCATGCCACCTCCAATCCTGGACCACGCACTGAACCTGAAGATGTCCCCGCCACACGAGACAGAGGAGCATATGCTGGAGAGCTGTAATAACAGCATGGACAGTGCATCCATGACCATGGTCTCTGATGACACGGAGGAGAGGATAAAGACTGAGTACACAGAGGTGAACCTGGGGAAACGAACGGTCATACGACAGGGAAAGCAGGTGGTGTTCCGGGATGAAGACAGCACAGGCAATGATGAGGACATCATGGTGGATTCAGGTAAATGTTTCTTTCAAACTAGGCAGCCTGTGGTTGAGTTTTCTAGCAGGCCAACTTGGCTGATATGTCTCATTTTGTGGGGTTTCTGCTTGGACAAATCTCACAATTGGCTTCTTGAGGCTCTTGGGGATCCGGTTGGATAGATCTTTTCCACCACAGCTCTGAGTTCCCCAACTTCTGCAGCTAGCACAAAGCCAGGTGATGGAGTCATGCATAGTAACATACACTCTTCAGGAGGCCATCTCCCAAAATGTGACAACCTCATTATGGGCTTGTGGAAGAGGATGGCCACCAATCAATATTTTGAAGCCTCCTTTGAACCTAACTGGAAGGGAAAATGGAACAAACCAAAAAAGAAACTGGCTGCTTTCCATGACACCAGCCTTCACCAAACTTTATTATTCCAGGACAAGATGACAGGAAATAATCCTAGGCCAAGGCTCACTGCGTCACCTAGGAAGGGCTTAATCTTTGATTGGGCTGTTTTTTTTTGGGTGAACCATGTTGGATTGAGGCTTGGAAGATTTCCTGTGATCTTGTCTTGGAGTAATAAAGTTTTTGGTAAAAGCTGATATCATTGGACAGCAATCCGTTTCTGTTAATTGTGGGGAGCATTGATGAGCTCCATTGGTTGGCATCTAGAGCCACGGAGGTGGACAAACTGTGAGAGGTGGCGCCCTTTGCTATTGTGTAGAATTGAATATTGTCAGCGGCCTAGTTGGTTGTACATAGTATATCCATAGCCTGGCTTAGACAAAGCCTTACACAGATCACATTTGTCAGGCAGGTGCAGTTATAGGAATGGAGAAGGCTGTAGGTGGCCATTTTCAGAAGCATTGTCAGGTAACCGATGAGCAGCAGCCACCTCCCCAGGGTCGGCTCTTCTTGATGGACTGTGTTTTGTCTCATAACAAATATTTCTTTCTGCTCGGCTTGGCCTCAGCAGTGTCCTTGGTTCTTTGCGTTCTGCAGCGTTCCCTAAAGTAGTAATTAAGTAAACAAAATGGCCGCCGTGTTTCTGACTTACATTTTGTTCCCGTCTTGGGCACCCAGTGGCTCCCTAGGTCAGAAACCGATGAAAGGTGTGCTGAGTGTTGTAGTACCTAAATGGCTGAGGAATTGCTGGCTGCCGGTGACTGTTTTAACCTCTTGTCTCATTTTCTGAACGCATGTTCCCCTGGCAGCAGGAAGTGTGATAGACTGCGTTTTCCTCCTCAGAATAAGCAGAAGTGAACCTGGAAATTGCTGCAAGCTTGGTTGCTTAATCTTCATGGTTTTTACGTATTTGTTTTTATCAGCGGCATCTGCCATTACACCGGCGTCCTCCTTTAAGGAACAAAGACTAGTGTTTGAAAAGAAGCAGCTAATGAAATATCCAGCCAATTCATTTATAATGAAGAGGGGTCCAGGCAATGCAGTCCAATGTGTGACGTCATGGAAGATTTGTGTTCATCTCTTCCATTTATTTATTGCAATTGAATAGATGGCATAGGTTAGCATAGAGCAATGGCGCCTGTCCTAAAATGTGGTGATCAGACTTGTTCAGTAATGAATTGTAATGAATGGCCGTCCTAACTGAACCACTTTTCTCTAGATATTAATAATTCGTAAAGTCCCAACATCGCTCCTGAACATTATGGTTAACCTTTCCTGAGCGTAGGCTGTTAATAATTTGGTCTGACAGGTAATCTGAAATCTTTCTTCAGAACTGCAAGATTTACCCTTTTTATATGTGTCCAAAAACTGTGTACTTTCAGACAAAGTGTACTTGTTCTTTTTACCCCCTCCCCGACCTAAGAGATCCCACCCTACCCTTCTGCAGATGTGTACTTATCGAGATCTGATGCCTGCTCTTGTGTTTTTTGACTTATAGCTCCATAGGTCCTCTCTCACTGGCTGTGCCTGCAGAGAGCTCTAATGGCTGGTATATAGATGGGCACCATAAATGTCTGAGGACTGTCTCTGTGTCTTCCAGAAGGGGTATGCAGGTAGATGGAAACCATAAAGTAGATGTAGAATGAAGTAGATGGGCACCATAAATGTCTGAGGACTGTCTGTGTCTTCCAGAAGTGGTATGCAGGTAGATGGAAACCATAAACATCTATGGGGCATGTCTCCTTGCGTCTTCGGAAAGGGGATGAAGGCAGATGGATACGATGAAAGTCTATGTGGCTAGTCTCCTTGCATCCTCCGGAAGGGGGATGCAGATAGATGGACACCATAAAAGTCTATGAGGAATGTCTCCTTGCGTCTTCCGGAAAGGGGATGAAGGCAGATGGACACCATAAAAGTCTATGGGGCTTGTCTCCTTGTTTCTTCTGGCCTTAATGGCGGTAGATAGATTTACAGCGCTGGATGTCAACAAACCCAGGAGGCTCTGGGCATCGGATTTTGGTATGTATGCACCTGCAGAAGAGTAGGGAGGCATCTGTTAGGTCAGTGGATGGGAACAAAAAAGAATAATTGCACTTATTCTGCACCCGACCATTCTGCAGATGCATACTTATCGAGATCTGATGCCTGCTCTTGCGTTTGTTGACATCATCTCCATAAGTCCTCTCTCACTGGCTGTGCCTGCACAGAGCTCTATTGGCTGGTAGATGGAGGTTGATGGGCCCTATAAAGGTCTATGGGGCTCGTCTCACTGTGATTTACGAAGGGGGGGTGGAGGTAGATCAACACTATAAAAATCTATGGGCCTTTTCTCCTTGCATCTTGTGGCTGGAAGATGGAGGTAGATGGGCCCCATCGAAGTACACTGCCTTGGCACGACTAGTGAGGACTTGCAGTGCTAGATGTCAACAACACATGAGGCTGTGGGTATTGGATCCCACCAAGTATGCACCTACATAATTTTAGGGTGGGATGTATTAGTTCGGTGGATTGGGACAAAAAAAGAGTAAATGCACTTATTCTTTAAAATACAAGTTTGTTGGTTTTTACTCAATGAAGACTCTACGATACAAATTGTCAGTTGATTCTTGGTACCAGCAACAAATAAAACTTCAAAAAGGTGAATTGCTAGGCATTGTACACAATATGGCTAAATGTGTGGACACCCCTCCAAAATATGGAGTCCAGGTGTACAAAGCCAGCTCCATAAACACACAGTTTGACCAGTTCGGTGTGGAGGAAATTGAGTGTCCTCCACAGAGCCTTGACCTCAACCCTACTGATCACCTTTGGGATGAATTGGAACAATGATTGTTGGCTAGGTCTTCTCATCCACCATCTAAGCTCATAAATGCTCTTTTGGATGAATAGGCAAAAATTCCCCCAGACACCCTCCAACCTTCTGAAAATTTTCCTCAGATAAATGGAGAATGTTGTAGCACAAAGAGGACCAACTCCAAAAATAATGACACTGGTTTTGGAATGGCATGTCCAACAAGCCTATAGAAGTGTGATGGTCAGGTGTCCACAAGCTTTTGGCCATGTAATGTTCATATGTTTGTTAAAAGCAAGTGTAGCTTGGCATACAACGGTGTCTTTAAGTTTAGTTCCTACATTAATTTACTTACTAAGGGACCTTTTTATGTAGATCTGTAATTTAAGTTAACCATTGCTTCAGTTCCCCCATTTTGTAGTTTCATGATTGCCCGCAATAAAGCCCGCTCATTCACATTTAATAAAATCCCCAGGAAGCCGTCTAATTCCCCATTTTGCTCTGTCTCCTCTCGCCAGCCATTTCTGAAAATTAATTAAAATGACATTTTTTTTAAATAGGATAGGAATGGTGGACGTTTTGCGCGTTGCCTTTCCCAATTGGAGACTAGTATTCAGTTTTTGGTTTTTTTTTTCCTTTTACCCAGTTAACACTCCATTATTATTATTGACACATTACCAGGCTGCACCATCATTTCTTTAGACATTTGCTGGAATGTGTTGGGATCTCTGTTCCCTTCACATCTGGCTGTGTTAATCCAGGTGAGAGGAAATTCCTGTCACATGGGAAGAGCGTCTTCAGTCAGGAAATGTGTGAGGGAAGCTCCAGCATCTATATATAGTGGTGTGTGGAAATCTTCACCAACATATGAGTATAGTGGTGTGAGGAAATCATCATCTACTGTACATATGAGGTGAGGAGAAGTCCACCATCATCTATGTATAATGGGGTGAGGAAATCTCCATTGTCTTTGTAGAATGGGGTGAGTAAACGTCCACCATCATCTGGGCAGAATAAGGTGAGGAAATCTCCATTGTCTATGTAGAATGGGGTAAGGAAACATCCACCATCTGTGTATAATAGGGTGAAGAAATGTCCACAATTATCTATGTAGAAAGGGGTGGGGACATCTCCATTGTCTTTGTAGAATGGGAAACGTCCACCATCATCTGGGTAGAATAGGGTGAGGAATTCTTCATCATCTATGTAGAATGGGGGTCAGGAAACGTCCACCATCATCTATGTGTAACGGGGGGAGGAAACGTCCACCGCCATCTTTGTAGAATGAGGTGAGGTAACGTCCACTATCGTCTGTGTATAATGGGGTGAGGAAACGTCCACAGCCATCCGTGTAGAATGGGGTGAGGAAACGTCCACCATCATCTATGTAGATGGGGTGAGGAAACGTCCACCATCATCTATGTAGAATGGGTGAGGAAACGTCCACCATCGTCTATGTAGAATGGGTGCGGAAACATCCACCATCGTCTATGTAGAATGGCGTGAGGAAACGTCCACCATCGTCTATGTAGAATGGGTGAGGAAACGTCCACCATCGTCTATGTAGAATGGGTGAGGAAACGTCCACCATCATCTATGTAGAATGGGGTGAGGAAACCACCATCGTCTATGTAGAATGGGGTGAGGAAACCACCATCGTCTATGTAGAATGGGGTGAGGAAACCACCATCGTCTATGTAGAATGGGGTGAGGAAACCACCATCGTCTATGTAGAATGGGGTGAGGAAACCACCATCGTCTATGTAGAATGGGGTGAGGAAACCACCATCGTCTATGTAGAATGGGGTGAGGAAACCACCATCGTCTATGTAGAATGGGGTGAGGAAACCACCATCGTCTATGTAGAATGGGGTGAGGAAACCACCATCGTCTATGTAGAATGGGGTGAGGAAACCACCATCGTCTATGTAGAATGGGGTGAGGAAACCACCATCGTCTATGTAGAATGGGGTGAGGAAACCACCATCGTCTATGTAGAATGGGGTGAGGAAACCACCATCGTCTATGTAGAATGGGGTGAGGAAACCACCATCGTCTATGTAGAATGGGGTGAGGAAACGTCCACCATCGTCTGTGTAGAATGGGGTGAGGAAACGTCCACCATAGTCTGTGTAGAATGGGGTGAGGAAATGTCCACCATCGTCTGTGTAGAATGGGGTGAGGAAATGTCCACCATCGTCTGTGTAGAATGGGGTGAGGAAACGTCCACCATCGTCTGTGTAGAATGGGGTGAGGAAACGTCCACCATCGTCTGTGTAGAATGGGGTGAGGAAACGTCCACCATCGTCTGTGTAGAATGGGGTGAGGAAACGTCCACCATCGTCTGTGTAGAATGGGGTGAGGAAACGTCCACCATCGTCTGTGTAGAATGGGGTGAGGAAACCACCATCGTCTATGTAGAATGGGGTGAGGAAACCACCATCGTCTATGTAGAATGGGGTGAGGAAACCACCATCGTCTATGTAGAATGGGGTGAGGAAATGTCCACCATCGTCTGTGTAGAATGGGGTGAGGAAACGTCCACCATAGTCTGTGTAGAATGGGGTGAGGAAACGTCCACCATAGTCTGTGTAGAATGGGGTGAGGAAACGTCCACCATCGTCTGTGTAGAATGGGGTGAGGAAACGTCCACCATCGTCTGTGTAGAATGGGGTGAGGAAATGTCCACCATCGTCTGTGTAGAATGGGGTGAGGAAATGTCCACCATCGTCTGTGTAGAATGGGGTGAGGAAACGTCCACCATCGTCTGTGTAGAATGGGGTGAGGAAACGTCCACCATCGTCTGTGTAGAATGGGGTGAGGAAACGTCCACCATCGTCTGTGTAGAATGGGGTGAGGAAACGTCCACCATCGTCTGTGTAGAATGGGGTGAGGAAATGTCCCCCACCACATATGTATATTGGTGTATGTTTTAATGACTGGAAGATGTAATTTGCGTCTACAACATATCTTTTCTTTCTATTTTTCAGATGACGAATCCTGGCATCTCGTCACATGCTTTTGCATGAAGCCATTCGCCGGTCGGCCAATGATCGAGTGTAATGAGTGCAATACCTGGGTCCACCTCTCTTGTGCCAAAATCCGCAAATCCAACGTTCCAGAGATTTACGTTTGCCAAAAGTGCCGAGACACCAAATTCGACATCCGACGATCAAACCGCTCGCGCATGGGATGTAGGAAGTTATTCCTGGACTGAAAAAAAAAAAATTTTTAGAGAAGGGATCAGCGTGCGTAGAGACGATAAGCCGCAGTAGACGCACAGGGGCGGATGCAAAAACAAAGGACGTTTTTATGTTTTCAACCGGCACACTTTTACAGACAAATGGTTCGTTTTTGGTTTATTTTTGACGGCCCAGACGGAAGTGCGCGAGCCCGTGGCGACTGCTGCCTGTGGGACAAAAACAGGCATCTGAAAAACAAGAGGTGTTTATATCTTTCCCTGATTCCGCAGGGCGCCGTAGGTTATATGCCTATGATGAGACTTTACCTTTTAATAATCTCCCGTATCACCATCGGTCTAGACCAAACTATGTACGGGGTTTCATCCGAACAGGGACGGAACGTGTTTGTCTCCAAGTAAAGTTTATTTTGTTAACCTTGCAGTTGAACTTTAGTTTTGTAGTCCTATAAAAAGCCACAGTTGGCTGTAGAAGACCAGGTTATATGAAGAAAAAGTTGTGTGAATGTGATTTTGTTTTGGTTTTTCATTTTTTTTTTTTTTTGGTTTCGTTTCTTTGAACCTTCTGCCCAGAAGACATTTCTTGCACATGGGACCGAAAAATAACAGCTTGCTGTAAATAAGTGCTAAAAAGAAAACTATAATTTCCCAATAAATGTTTATTTTCGCTCCCTCATGGGTGGTCCGTAACATTTCAACCATTTTAATGTAAAGTAGACCCGTCATAGAGGCAGATATATAAAGGGAGGAGGTCAGACTTCAGCCTAATCACCAGGGACTAGTTGAGTGGGTAGGGTACCTTGTCTTATTGGATATGCTGGACCTTTTAGATCTGTTTGACCCAGGTAGAATGTGGACTTTATTTCCCGCTGGTCGGTTTTGTTAATAGAGATCTTCCATTTTCATAGAGAAGGGTGAAACTTCTCAACCCTCATGCTACCAGTACAATGTCCAGCTTAGAACTTCTCCTTTTCTAGCCTACAGGTGCTCAACCACAAGCCTTGGCATTGTTTTTAGGCATCACCACCTATGCCTGGAAGTTGGTTGGTTTTCATTGGACTGTGTTGAGCAGATGGAGGCCTTCCTTTAAAAAAAAAAAATGGAGTAGCAATGGGTGGCTGAAAACAACTGAGCCATAGATTTGCTCTGTTTGAACACCTGATTGGTTGGATTTCTCAACAGGACTTGACTATTGACTGGCAAATGTATTCATTCTCCCACATAGACCTCTGTTCCACTCTGAGGTCATCCACTGTGGTCTAATGACTGGCAAATGTATTCATTCTCCCACATATACCTCTGTTCCACTCTGAGGTCATCCACTGTGGTCCAATGACTGGCAGATGTATTCCTTCTCCCACATAGACCTCTGTTCCACTCTGAGGTCATCCACTGTGGTCCAATGACTGGCAGATGTATTCCTTCTCCCACATAGACCTCTGTTCCACTTTGAGGTCATCCACTGTGGTCCAATGACTGGCAGATGTATTCCTTCTCCCACATAGACCTCTGTTCCACTTTGAGGTCATCCACTGTGGTCCAATGACTGGCAGATGTATTCCTTCTCCCACATAGACCTCTGTTCCACTTTGAGGTCATCCACTGTGGTCCAATGACTGGCAGATGTATTCCTTCTCCCACATAGACCTCCATACTACTCTAGGGTGGTCCACTGTAACCAGCTGTGGGTACAAGCCTCGGGGATCTGTTCCTTCCCAGACAGGCCAGTGCAATATAAGGTGAAGCTGCATGCCGCTACTTCGATGAAGCTTAAAACCAACTTTATTGTTCCAGCATAATAGAGGACACTCCCTCAGCACTTATAAGGGCCACATTTCAGCATCCAATTAGGGCAGTAGAAGCTCTATGATTAAGCCCCAGTGAGGGGGGGGGGGTGAAACGTGCCCGGAGGTGCTGGGTGGAGTGTACTCTATTGTGCTGGAACAATAAAGTTGGTTTTAAGTTTCTCGGAAATAGCGGCACATTGTATTGCACTGGCCTGTGTTCCAGCTCTGCTGTGAAACTGGGAGAACCTCTATAATCCTCCATCCAACATTTTGCAGAATAAAAAAAAAACGCTTTTCCAGAGTAAGTTCTGAAATGACTTCCACTAGTGCACAATATATGTGAATTGACATCCATTTTGACTGGTACACAAACGCACCTACACTACGGTACACCAAGACCCAATGGGTATGAAAATGAGGCGCATTAAGAGCTCATTCCTAGATTGTAAGCTCGAAAGAGCAGGGCCCTCGATCCCCTCATGTTCTGCATTGTATTGGTATTGTTCTGTCACATGTTCTGTCCCCCTTTGTAATGTACAGCGCTGAGTAAACTATTGGCGCTTTATAAATACTGTATAATAATAATTCCTAATGAAATGGGCTGCCCTAATGCAACGCACAAAATCATGAACACACCCGAAGTTAATGGGCCTCCATGTGTAAAGGTTTGCCTAATATTTGATTTCTGTGATTTGGCAAATTTTTTTTTTTTTTTTTTGCCTCGCCTCCAAGTAGTCATTGATGGAAAAATGCTCGTCCCATGGCTAAATCCTAAAAAAAAAAAAAAAAAAAAACCAGTAGTGATTTCATATGTTAAGATTGAACAATCAGTTCTCATGTTTGGGGGAGTAAAGGTTCATTAGACAAATTGGAAGCCTTACCCAGTCACCACTGCTCCCCATGATAGGTTGGTGCTGGCCCATATAAATAGGACCTTCTTCCACTATACCAGTGTTTCTCAACTCCAGTCCTCATGGAACCCCAACAGGTCATGTTTTCAGGATTTCCATTATTTTGCACAGGTGATTTGATCAGTTTCACTGCCTTAGTAATTACCACAGCTGTTTCATCTGAGGGAAATCCTGAAAACATGACCTGTTGGGGGTCCATGAGGACTGGAGTTGAGAAACACTGCACTATACCAACCACTAAAATCTACAGAACTGGCCTCTATCAAACACATATATGACCCTGAGAGCGGCCCGAACATGCTCAGACATGATGGACTAGCCTCCAACTCTGGGTAGTTTAAAGGCCAGCTGTGGGCAAAACATGAAGCCTCTCCCATCCCCTTCTAAATAGAAGTCCTTGAGGCTCACCAACGTAATAAACTTTGTTTTACAGCTATTGAAACCATAAAAATGCTGGTCTATTAGAAGGAGCTCCGATAAGCACAGTACCGGCCATATAGCAACCAATGCCATGTCAGGAAAGTAACCACTTAAGGCCTTGTGTGAATAATATATGCTAAAGGTGACGTTTCTTTTCACCCATCCAATCTGCTTCCTTAAATTCCTTTCAGATCTGGAATGTAGAAATAACAGGTGATTGCAATTTAAAATCAAACCCACCACTCATACATTACAGATTACAGGACCAAAGTACCTCTACCAGACGTAATACCTAAAAAATGTAAGCCTCTGTGGCCAATTTAGCAGCTTGTTATCGCCGGTTTGACTCAGGCCATCAGGTTCTAGAAGTTTTATATTCATTTTTTTTTGCCTATCAAGCTGTCATTTAGGATGATAGAATGGAAGTGGAGGTCCAAATTCGCCCCCCCAGAGCAGGCACCACAGAGTACTGGCATGTCCTTCACGTTTGGACTCGGTGTGCTTAAGGAGAACCCAATCCTAGGCATGCTCCTTACATCGGACTCAGATACTTCTTCCACTATGGGTCAGTACAGGATTCCTAGAGCTCAGATCTGAAATCCTGATGCTAAGAGGGAAAACACAAGATGGTCTAGGCCAGGGGTAGGCAACCTGCGGCCCTCTAACTGTTGTGGAACTACATTTCCATTCTGGACTCCAACCTATCCTTCCAGCCCCAAGTCCAATCTTTAACAAACTCGTGCAGACCCCACCTCCGCAACATCGCCAAAATCCGCACGTTCCTAACCCCAGAAACCACTAAACAGCTCATCCACTCCCTCATCATATCACGACTCGACTACTGAGACTCCCTCCTCACTGGCCTGCCTCGCCGCTGGCTATCCCCGCTTCAGTCGATCCTAAATACGGCTGCCAGACTCATTCACCTTTCCAACCGCTCCGTTTCCGCCACCCCCCTCTGCCAATCCCTCCACTGGCTTCCGATTGCCCAACGGATCAAATTTAAAATCCTAACACTGACGTACAAAGCTGTCCACCATACTGCCCCGAACTACATCACCGACCTAATATCCAAGTACCGCCCAACACGCACACTCCGCTCCTCACAAGACCTCCTTCTCTCTAGTTCCCTGGTCTCCTCCCATGCCCGCCTTCAGGACTTCTCCAGGGTGTCACCCATCCTCTGGAACTCCCTGCCCCAACCCATCAGATTATCACCTACTCTCCTCTCCTTTAGGCGCACCCTGAAAACCCATCTCTTCAGGGAAGCCTACCCCACCCCCTGCTAACCTGCCGACCTCCTCCACTCTTCCCACCACTCCATCCCCCACAGCTATCTCCTCCTGTGCCACCATCCCCTCCCTCCCAGATTGTAAGCTCGAAAGAGCAGGGCCCTCAATCCCCTCATGTTTTGCATTGTATTGGTATTGTTCTGTCACATGTTCTGTCCCCCTTTGTAATGTACAGCGCTGAGCGAACTATTGGCGCTTTATAAATACTGTATAATAATAATAATTTCCCATGAGGCATTGCAAAACTGACAGTTACAGCTATGACTTGCAGAGGCATGATGGAACTTGTAGTCCTGCGGCTCTCAGGTTGCCTACCCCTGGCCTAGACCAATTTTGAAGGACATGCAGCCTTGTGGGGTGGCTGTTTATTTTTCCTAAGCCGGTTTATGAGGCAATGGTTTACATTGCGTACAAAGCTAGTCCTATGAATATGAAAATAAGGATTTGGTTGGTTCTAAGAGAATGACAATTAAGATGCAAATGATGAGTTCTGAAGGAAAGCGTTAAGCGTTGCCAAGCCGTCTAATCTGCAGGGATATTTTAGGATCCATTCAAAGCAATTACCGCCATTGGAACCGCAGCAGGCTCTGGCTGCCAGTGAACATTTT